GCGCGCTGATTGGCTGCCGCCGCCGCCGCCTAAGATGGCGCCGCGCGCAGGGCTCCCGAGCTTCGGAGCCTCCCTGGCCCGGCTGGGCTCGGCTCCGCCGGGCTGCGGGGCCGCGGGAGCTGCGAGGCCGGGCGTGGGGCCAGGTGGGTGGGGGCCTCTGCTCGCACGCAGGCCTGGTTCACGGAGCCGGCGCTGCTCTGAGGGTCCCCCGAAGACCGGCGGGAAGGCCAGCCGCTCTGCAGAGGTCACCTCGCCGGCGAGCTCTCCCAGCGCCCGACTTAAAAGTGTGCCTTTAAGGACCGGGAGAAAAACGGCTCACCTAATTTCTACGAAGGGCATGGTGGTAGTTTGAAGGAAGGAGTATAAAGTTTTCATAGTTGGAAGAAATGGAGGATTTGGTGAGTCATACTACACAAGGAGCTTTTGGATTGGAAATCAAGTGTCAGTTTAATTTATGATTTATATGCTGACTCAAACTGGTAGTGTGAAAGCCTTCTCTATTTAACATGCTTGGCATCTTGCCATTTGTGTTGAGAATGAGCAACACAAACGGTAAGAGTCAGATTTTGTGTTCTCCCTCTTGGCTGAAAAAGTTGCTCGGTTGTGTTGTGTTTTTGTGGCTGCCCGAGGTAGTGGTGGTGATCCCTGTGTCGACCTCTCGCTGCATTCTAGACCGCTCTGAGCCTTCAAGCCTCTCGGATGCTGGAAGTGGATTGTTGTAGTCCGTGTAATCCCGCTAAACTCTGTAGTGCACGTTACTAATTCCATTTTGGTTTCCCCAAGGGGTTGGGGAAGCAGGCGCCTCAGCTGTCAGCTGTGTTGTATTTTTGAAGTTCTGTTAATTCGATTTTCTAAAGTATATAAAATGTTTGTCTCCACTGCGAACGTTTTAGCTTTGCTTTTCACAGTTAATTTTAACGTTTAATTATAGTGCGGAATTATGGAATATTTTGGTATCTTGTATTAGTGGGAAGAATTTTTGGAGACATGCTCTCTTTGTGGTTTGATAGGAAAAGGAGGTTCATGAGTTTGGTGCATGTATTCAGAAGACAGTTTCTCAGCAACCGCTAAGAACAATAGAAATTTAAGTCAAATTTAGATATGTTTACCCTGTCTGTACAAAACACGACTAGTTGATGAGGTAACACATCTCTTAGAGTTGAATTTAATATAAGCAGTATATTGAATTCCTGTTTGTCTTTTTTTTCTGGGTTTGTTTTTTTTTTTTGGGTTTTTTTTTTTTTTTTTTTTGGGGTGGGGGACGGTGGTATTCCTGGTTGGCCTGGTACTGGTCATATAATATAGCCAAAGTAGCCTTAAACTTGTGCCCTTCTCTCTCAGCCTCCCAAGTGCTGGGGTTGAATGCATGTGCTGCACTGTGCCCCACTTGAATCTCCTGTTTTGACCTTAATTCTCTCCTGTCACATGAGGGTAGGTATTTTTAAAGTTTAGAAGTAGGCCTTTAAACATTATTTAACATATATTGCCAGGTCTGAGCTTCTAGTAACTGACTTGAGTTTGGACTTTGAACATTTTTGAGTCAGCTAGATGACTGATCCTCTGTATAAAAATAGAGATGATGATGTCATTGTTAAGACCACTCACTCACTGCTAGTAGGACCTGGACACTGGTCCTCTTTGTTTCCCAAGTGAGTAATTGTGACTTTTAGGTAGTTTCTTGGTCCTTGTTTCCTGACTGTAAAATGAAGAGTTAAAACATCCTGAGGTCACTTACTAATCTTGAGAGATAGGAAGGATTCTGTTCTAAACTAGTACTTTGTTACTGAATGTCCAAGATTGCACACTGAAGGGAATCAGAAAGCAACAAAGAATAAGTTATACATATTCTCAAGCAGCTTTGAATCTAATTGGAAAGACTAGCATGGACTGTGTGGTGGTTTTCATTGTCAACTCAACAAAATCTAGACTCACCTGGGAAGTCTCAAAGAATCATCTGGATCTGGTTGATGTATGGGGATTGTCTGGATCATGTTCTTTGAAGTCAGAGGATCTACCCACTGTAGGTGGCACTATTACCTATGTAGGAGTGGGTAAGCTGGCCCTAGTTCCATTCCCCAGGACCCACATAGTGGAAGGAGAGAACTGACTCCTGCAAATTGTCCTCTGATCTATACATATGCACACACAAATAAATCTAATTTTAAGTGTAAGCATGCATGCATTGCTCTCTGTTCCTAATTATGGATGTGATATATTAACTAACTCGAGCCACTGTGACTTCCCAGTGGGATGGACTGTAACCTGGAACTAAGAGCTAAAATAGACTCTTTCTCCCCTAAGTTTCTTTTGTCGGGCTGTTTTCACAACAGGAAATAAATCTAAATATGGAGGCAAGTAAGAGATGACTATGAAGTAGGTTTACTTTGGAGACGATAGACCATAATGTTGGATGCTGGAGTGGGAAGGACTGAAGCTTAGCGGATCCAGTGGTGGTTTTTTTATTTATTTATTTATTTTTGCCACAGTGTGGAGCTCAAGATGTAGAAAGTATAATTAGCTTAGATCCCTCTTTCTCAATACGTACAGATTTAGGTTTTTGCTTTTTTTTTTTTTTTTAATTTGTTTTATGTGTAAGCATGTATTGCCTGCATATAGGTAAGTGCACCTGTGTCCTGCAATGCCGGCTGAGGACAGAAGAGGCTGTTGGATCCCCTGGAACTGGAGTTACAGACAGTTGTCAGCTGCCACGTGGGTGCTGGGATTCGAACCCAGGTCTTCTGCAAGAACAGTGTTCTTAACCACTGAGTCATCTCTCCAGTCCCAGGTTTTTGCTTTTTATGTATGCACATGTGTGGAGGCCTGAAGAGGGCGTTGACCACCTGGGGCTGGAGCTAGGTGGGTGGGAGCAGACCTATTTGTGTGCTAGCAACCAAACTGCATGAGCAGTATGTACTTTTAATCACTCAGCCATCTATCTCCCAACTCCAGATTTTGGTTTTGAGAGCCAAATAAACAATATTTGGAGCTTGGCGCTATGCTAGTTTCTATGAAATAGATTTCTTTTGATGCATTTTGTCACCCAACTTTCATGTTTTCAATTGTAATAAAAATCAAAGTTGAGGGGCGGTTAAGAACACTGGTTGTTCTTGCAGAAGACCCGGGTTCGAATCCCAGCACCCACATGGCAGCTAACAACTGTTCATAATTCCAGTTCCAGGGGATCCGACAGCCTCTTCTGTCCTCTGCAGGCATTGCAGGACACGGGCGCACACACATTAAAAAAAAAAAAAAGCAAACCAAAGTTGAAATATTGGGAACTATGTAAACTTCCCAAACAAAATTAATATGAAGACTTTTTAGATATATGGGATACTTGGCTTGATATGTTTGTACAAGGCCCAGTAAAACTGAAATTTACTTCTCACTGGTAATACTTGTATAGCCAGTGGCATCTCTGGTTGAAAAGTACATTTACTCTTTGGTGTGGCTGCCTTTTTTTTTTTTTGGACAGACAGGGCAGGGTCTCACTATGCAGCCCTAGCTGGCCTGAAACTCACTGTAGACCAAGCTGAGCCCATCTCATACAGATCCACCTGCCTCTGCCTCCCAAGTGCTGGGATTAAAGGCGGGTACCATCACGCCCAGTGCCTTTAAATATTTATTTTATTGTCGAGACACCTGTCTTTATATACCCCCAGACTGACCACCTACTTCTGTCTCCTGAATGCTGGGACGACAGGCATGTGCCACCACACCCAGTTTAAACTGTAATTTTGAAAACACTAAGCTAAATTTTTCATTAGTATAAGAATTATTATTATAATTATTTTTTTGCCTCCCAAGCTCTGGGACTACAGGCATGCACCACCACGTCTGGCAGTATAAGAAGTTTTTTTAAACAATTTATTTTGTGTGTATCAGTTTATTGCCTGAAGTATCAGTTTGCTTTTCGATAACTACAGTAAAGTTGTTTTTTATTATGACTTAAGCACTGGTTTTGGGTTGGGTTCAGGTTTTGGCCTTGTGCTTTCAGGTCTTCTGACTACTTGGAGAATGTTCTTAGATGACTGGGCTTTTTTCTCCAAAGGAGTTCTCTACTTAGGTATGCAGTTGTTCATTGCAAACACTGGAAATAAAATACAGACATAAATACAGGCATTATGGCTCATTTAGTTTGAACATTTGTTATGTGTGGAGAAGGGAGAGAGGTTGCTGCCTTATAATTTGGTTAGCTGAATTTTTTTTTATTTTTAAGTGTATGAGTGTTGTGCCTGAATGTACATAAGTGCCCCCGTGTTGTGCGGTGCCCTCAGAGGACGGAAGAGGGCGTTGGATCCCCAGTAACTGGAATTACAGATGGTTGTTAGCCGCCATGTGTTGGGATTTGAACCCGGGTCTTCTGTAAGAACAGCCAGTGGGTTTTGGGGGGTTTTTTGTCTTTTGGGGACAGGTCTTCCTGTAGCCCAACTGGGGCCTGGAACTCACTGTGTAGACCAGGCTGGCCTGGAACTCCCATGCGCTGGGATTGAAGGCTTGTGCCACCGCAGCCAGCTTTTTGTTTCAGTCTTACTGAGACGGGGTCCCCCTGTAACTCCAGCTGCTCTGGAACTCACTATGTAGACCAGGCTGGCTTAGAACTCAGAGAACTGCCTCCTCTGCGTCCCAAGTGCTGGGGTTAAAACAGCCACTGTTATCAGCTGCAATAAACTGAAATTTTTGACCAAGATTGAACTCTTTATATGAAGTAGTCTGTTGAGTATTTATGTTACTTTTAGAAGCGGTTTGACTTACTCCAAAGAGCTAGTTAAGAATATTGAGAACAAGCAGGCAGTGGGCACATGCTACAGAATTTTTCATTAGACTGACATGCAGTTACCATTCTTGGTTGTAAATACAAATCTAAACTCAGAACAGGCTTGACTGCAGGGGCTAAAACTGAGGTTGCCTGGGGTGATGAGGTCTTGCATTGCAGA